TATATATATATATATATATATATATATATATATATAAATATTTGATTTGATTTGTATCTGTAGCAAGCATTTGCAGATGATGTGCTGGCTTAATTTATGCTATGCCTCAGCGAATGAAATACTTGCTCTATTGAGAAAGATAAATGGGAAAATAGATTGTTGAATCTTCTCTTGTACTTTAGTTATAGTGAGCAAGAAAGGTAATGCTTCAATAAGGATGTGTAGAAAATTCAACCGGTTTATTTTGTAAAAACAATTTGATTAATCAAAGTGTTTTTTGTAAATCTGATCATTCGTTTTTATTTTTTTAAAAAATTGATCAATATATAAATATAAAACTGATAATCAAATTGTATTCAATCGGTTTAATTTTAAAAAAAAAAAATCAATCTTTTAAAAGAATCACTCGATCTATTTTATATTTAAAAAAAATTCAGTTAATCATTTCATTTATAAAAAAAAAGTTTTGATTCGATTTTTTACAAATCCGACCCATCAACGGTCCTACGCTTCCATTATAAAGGAGACCCTGACTTGAGTCGCATATATTGCTCCTAAAAGTGCGTTAGACAAAATAAAATGAGTGATTCAGGTCATCTCTCGTGAACCAATCCAAATGTAATGATTCTTTAGGTTAAGTTTAATTCAGCAAGTAAAGAACAAATATATATTATTCTTCATCTTAACCCTTTGCTTGGCATGTACAAAGCCACTCTTTGCAGCCTTTGTACTTTCTTTCTTTCCATTTTTCTTTTGTCTTTGTTGCTTTGTTGCAACCTGGTCACATGCTTGTAAATTATTATAAACAACGATTCATAGTTAGATAAAATTTAAATAAAAAGTGGTAAGAACTATTCATTCATTTAAAAGTCCATAACAATGTGTTCATCTAGCTAGTTAATAGTCAACATTAAAGCAATTATCCTAGAAAAACAATATCCTAACTATCTAATATTTTCTGTAAAAAAAAAAAACTATCTAATATTTTGCAATTGTAATTCAGTTTATAATAAAATGAAAATGTGTGAGTGAGACCTTAGAACACGTCAATTCCAAGCTAGATTTGGATTTTAGCCTTGTTAACAGTTTCTTCTCATCTATATTGTAAATAATGAATAAATAAATATATATAAATTACACTTCCCTCTTATTAGATATATGAATATTACACTGATATCTTATCATAGGAATAAAAATATGTTAAATTAATTAGACCAGACTTTGAATATATAAGCTGAACCTGTACTATAAAATTAAAGTTTAAATTTAACCTATTATCTATTATATGTTTTTTTTATAAGTTTGGTCTAGCCTTTTTAAAAGTCCTGACCTATTAGTCTATTTAAATTATATAATTTACTTAATATTATTAAAGTTTAAATTTTAAAAAAAATATAGAAGAAAAATTTAATCATTTTTTGTCGAAGTGACAATTAATGCATAGTTTTGTATATTGATGTACATTTAGGCAAGGTAAACTTATAAATCTTATAATAAAAAAATAATTGTATAAAAAATATTTTAAATATTGAAAATTTATTTATTTTTTATAAAATTATTTGTTTAATTATTATTTTAATTATATATATATATATTAATTTTTTTTATTATATTATATATATAAATAGGCTAATATCTATCATACCAAATATATCTTTTTTTAAAGTTAAATTTGACATTTTTATTAAATAAGCCAAACTAACTGGACTTTAAAGAGATCATGTTATAAGTCCTTATTTAAAGTTTGACCTTTTCGCATCCTTACTTAGAGATAAGAATATTATATTGACACGACAGATTTCAATATATGACACTATCTATTTTCTAAAGTTCATTAACTTCCGTCATAAAAAAAAACTTATTACTAAAATACAATTTATACTAACATCCCTTCATATATGTAAATATTATATCACTGTCCTTAACAGATTCAAAAATGTTATACTTTAACAATTTATCTCTTCATTTATATATTTAATTATTATTTTAAAAATTATTATGAATTTTGCACAAATTAAGTATATCTCTTAACAAAATATTTTTCATTATTATATTCACAATATTTTTAAAGTTATATATAAAAATAAAAATAAAATATTTATATATGTAATATAAAATCAAATGTAAATTTTAAGATATTTTATACAGTTAATGTAATTTCTTTATTTTATAAATATTTAACTAAAATAACATTTTCATTATATTGCATTAATTGTATATATTAAAGTAATATATAAGTATTAAAGTATTATTGAATTGATGTTACTAATATAATACTTTTAAAAAAATTTATAAGCAAAATTGAATTAACAAGAATACAATATTTAAAAAAATTAATATTTTATGATAAAATATTATTTATAATATGTAATTAATGTAATATTAAGATATGTATATTAAATATATAATTTTTTAAATAAATATATTTATATTAAAATATTATTATTAAATAAAATATAATTATTACAAAATTTAATACTTGTATATGTAAGTCAATTTATATTATATATATTGACGTACATATACTCATATAATTTATTTTATAATTTTTATTTTATTTATTATTTCAATAATTAATTTAAATTTAATTATATATTTTACAATTTTTTATCAAATGAATGAATGAAAATGAACTAAAGTATTTTAAAATATATTTTAATTAAAATGTATATTTTTATGAATAATTAGTTTTAAAATATTTTTAAAATTGTATAATAATTATTTTTAGTAATATTAAATAATATAATAAGTAAGTGATAATATAATTTTTGTATCTCTAAAAGATAAAAATATAATTTATTTAATATTTGAAAATATATTACATTAATAAAATTAAATTATATATTTTAACGAAAATAATATATAATACTCTTATCTCTTAAAGGGATAATATAATTTACTCTTTAAGAAAATAATCCAAAAGCTATATGGTAAATAACCCCAATAATCAAATATAAATTTGGAAGGTAAGGTATCAACGTGTTTATGTACTGCAATACTTTTTATTTTTTGTTTAATGAAGTATTCTCAGTTACAATTTTATATCCAAATTAAAAATCCATTTTTAATTTTTAATTAAAAAACATAAATGTCACTCAAAATCCACCCAATACCTCACAATTAAGTCATTTTCTTATTCATTCTGTCTTCATGACATTTCACTCATGTTTGCCACTTTCTTTATTTCGTTATGTGTGATTGTGTGGTGACAGTGATATTGTATACGTTTCTTAAACATAATTAGATAAACAGGAAATTAACAAATAAACTGGGCCAATGGATTTAGTTCTTTTTTATTAAGAGTCAAAAAAAACTCCACTTCAAAGGTTTGTTTGTGTGCATCATTCTCGCCACGACTTACGATTTTACAGCTATAATTAATCACTCTACAAAACATTTCCATTCCAAATTTAAATAAAAGTCAACTGGATTGACAACTCTTAATTGCTTCAATTTAGACATGCATCTTGATTGTATTTTGTCTCCATTTACGAATTTCTTTGGATTAATATCGAAAAAGTTAAACTCATAAGTCAATAATTCGGCAAAAGAAAAGAAAAAAAATATCATCCGTTGAAAATATCATAGAAATCTTTTAAAAATAAAAAAATAATAATAAATAAATAAAAAATAGTTGTAGGTGTTGGTTGTTGTTGGTGGGGTGGGGGTGTTCTAGGCTTGTAGCTGTAAGCCAATTTCATTTATTGAAAATGTTGGTCATCGAATAACGTGGCCATTGAGGTAGTTTAATCGTCACGACCACGTAAGTAATTTACAACAAAAATATATATAAGATATATTCTTTTAGTATTTACTTTTTTCTCAAAGATAATTATTTTATTTTTTTATTAATTTATATTTAAGGATAAAATAGAAAAAGATATATAAAAAATAATTGTCTTCTTTAAAAATTATAACTACTCACATTTTCTAAAAAAAAATACAAGTTTTTTTTTTCACATAGATACGAAGTATTTTTTTCGTGCTAGAAAAAATAAGGGAATTTTGTGATTTCTACTTTTGGAAAGTTTCATGTTATTTTCATTAGTTGAGTAAAATAGTACATGTTTAAGATGGAAATCAAACTCTAATTTTTATGTCCAAAATGAAAATCAAATTCAATATTTAATTAAAGAGCACTAGTGTGGAATTACTTAGACTAATAATTTTTAATCAACAAAGTTTCATATACTAATACTAGTACCAGTTTTAATTATAAGTAATATAAGACAAATCATCCAAACAAAAATAAGTAATTAATATGATTTTTTTAATTAATTTTACAATAAATTCAAGTTTTACTTCAAAATGTATCATTTACTTTAAATCATTATTATATTTAATATTAGTTATAAATAGATAAATAAAAAATAAAAGTAACAATAAATAAGAAGTATTTAAAAAATTTAATCCAAAATAATATTAAAATTAATTATTATTACTTATAATTAAAATAAAAGCTAATTAATTACTTATAATTGGATTAGATGTAGTAATAAATAAGATTATTTCTTCGTAATAAATAATATTATTTCTTCTTAATTTTTATAATTAAAAGAGATAATAAATAATTAATAGATTAAATTATATTTTTAATTTTCAAATATATCACATATAATTAAAGGACTATATATATATATATGATTTTAATTTTCTAATTTTAATTTTTTCATAATTTTTATTCTTCAAATTTATAAAATTTTACAATTTTTCCAAATTATTAAATATTTACTATTAATTTTTAAAATTATAACATTATTTATTACTTAATATTAAATAAATGATATAATAATTAATATTTAATAATATTTAAGTTGAATTGTATTTTTAATTTTATTTGAACTAATAAAAATGATAAATATATATATATATAATATTAA